GCATTGCGCGGGTTGACAATAAATTTATCGGAAGATGGCAAATCCTCCGCATCCCCTTCCTCGACTACATGCGGTGCTTCCTCTTCCGCATCCATTTCACCCTCGCTTTCGGAAAGAGCAACAACAACGGGAGCAGAGTGAACCACCTCTTCTTTCAAATCAGGAAAAGCGGCGATAAGCACCAGTTGAATGGCTTCAACATATCCCTTTAGGGCAAATGAATCTTGCGCTAGTGAGACTGCATCCTTCTTGAGTAAGTGATTCGCAAGATTTTGAAAGGAAGTCCTTCCCCAAGGGAGAGCGAGGAACTCATCAAGTTCTCTTATCATCTCAACGTGATCCGGGAGAATCTTCGGAGAGTGTGAGGTTGGGACTAAAATAAAAGCGGTTATTGCTAAAGACGCGATTTTGAGACGAGTATCCTTATCCTTAACCTTCCTTGTCTTCAGCATATCAATCACCGTATCCACACTACAAGACTTGAGCGAGCCAAACAAGTCATTCCAATAGAGCTTCTCGTGTAGAGGATTCTTCCTTTTCTTACGCTTTGATTGTGGAACCCTATCACAGTTGAGGCCGGTGACGATCGCCAACTCTCTAAGAGATATCCTTATTGGGTATCCAGCAAAAACAACCCAAATCTCGTACAGCTTGCGGGTCTTCAGCATACGAACACAAACAAAGTGACAGAACGCACCGGAGAAAGGAGGATTATCATCGAGAGAGAGGACCTTCGAGAATTGAGTTCTGTGGAAAAAGGCTAACTCGTCTTCGTCTAATGCTTCAATTAGTTGCTCTGTTCTTCGATACTTGTGGTAAGAGACGACTCTGTCGCCGACTGGTCCATCACCACAAGCAAAAAAACGTCTAGGAAGGTCGAGATCGGCCATCAAAGGATTTTTAAGAACAAAGTCGGAAGTTTTTCCGTTTAAAATACAAGATTGAAAGTAGTGGGATGATGGGAAGTTGAATTGGAGAGGGAGGTTACTATTCGGAGTGGTGGGATAAATTTTCTTAGTTACAGAAATTAATGACGAAATTCAAATTTCGAAAATAGAAAAGCATGCATTCGATTTTACTGGAAAACAAAACGGTTGACGGAAAATAAATCACGCGTGGGTGGCGCTCTGACACAGCTACCCGTAGGCGCGTAAGTCTACGAAAATAGGTTATCAATACACGGAAGGGCTAAATCGTCCGACGAAAAGCAACTGTCAAATCAAGGTTAATTCGCTAATTATAGGTGGGATTTAGGCTACTTTAGCCAATTAACTCTAAAATGAACAATGAACACATGTCATTAACCCTCAACTCATAACCACTTCCCAGACTATACAAAACACTGATAGCCATTTTGATGAAGGAACCCAAAATTTTGAGTTTTATAGAGGAAATCATCTTCCGAGATCTTTATGGAATAAATAAATTAGTTATTGCCTAATGACTTATGACCAAAAGTATATATTCAAAGTTAGAATAACACATGCACCTTATAGTTGGAGATGAATGTGTTTAGATATTTAATTAATGAAACTTTGTTTTTAAGCCCTTCCATTGTATCAACACATTGAAAACATTAGATGATACACCTCCCAAACTACAAACAGTACGCATGGTAGCATTAAATAGGCAAAATATTCAGTTTTTGAATAAACCAGTATCAGTTATTACCTCCTCGTGCACTCATTGATTTCAGGAAGATCAGTGTCAAAGTATAACTTGGTTGCTGGTGTGGAGTTGAGATACAAGTTACCTCCATAAGTCCAAGTGTTTCCAAGAGAAACTGTAATGGAAAAATATATATGCAAAGATTTTGCCAGTAAAATCGTATGAATTAATTAGGATTCTTCCCAAATGTAGATGCCGTTTACCTTCAAATATCTTAGGATTAATCGTAGTGACCACCATGACAGACAACAAACATGACATACAAAAAAATTCCCCCTGACTTCAGAAGGCCCCTATAACGTTGAGGCAGCCTCTGTCACACAAAGATAAGTAAATTGTTATAGTTATTGTGTAGGATATATTTAAACTCATTAATACAAGCAGAAAATAAAGAGCTAGACGATAAAATTTTGCTTCAAATGGTGTGCTTACATGTCAATGAGGAGAAGGTCAATGAGGAGACAAAGACTCAAGTTGTAGTTGCATCGTTGGTGAGGTCAGAGCACTGAACGTAATGTATTTGACCAACGACATCTGGAAGTAGAAATCTAAATCCAAATTAAAATATAATAATATACATGGAGTTCTAAGTTGGCGTTCGCCAAAACTTGGAGATGGTCGAACTTCCTAAGCATAAATATTTGGTGGTTCACACAGGAGGAGCCTTCTAGAATTCATCAATAATTGTTGTTGGGATGAAGCGAATGAAGAATGGATGATCAGTAACTTGTACATGTTAGTGCATCATGCAACTTCAAACCGATCGAATTTTACAATCAAACCAGAATCCAAAGATGGACAATAGTGATAGGTGCGACCGGCGGGGATGAAGCCATGGTCACGAAGCTCTGCAGTTTGAAACAGATTATATAATTGAAGAAAGAGTTATATGATCGATTAAAGGCAGTTGTAATAGATAAGTGGTGATAGATCGACGATGTCATTACCTTTTCATCAAGGAAGAGAAGTGTGATTCCCATAAACTCATCGCCTTTCATAGTGTTTCGGGGATCCAGAAGAAAAAGAGGTGGCCAACAATGAACTGGGTAGTACGATCATGGCGAAAAGAGTCTAATATTGAGTGGCAGAGGCCGGTTTGAGCAACTAAAACAACAGAGAGATCCATTTTCGAGATGTTATAAGGTATGCATAGTAGAGAAATCAATGATATTTTTTGAGTTAAAGATTTCCTCTGTTGAAGATGAAGTATATATAAGGAGGGTTCCAGAAGCAAAGGATGTGGCCAACAATGAACTGGGTAGTACGATTATGGCGGAAAGAGTCGAATATTGAGTGGCGGAGGCCGGTTTGAGCAACTAAAACAACAGAGAGATCCATTTTCGAGATGTTATAAGGTATGCATAGTAGATAAATCAATGATATTTTTTGCGTTAAAGAGTTCCTCTGTTGAAGATAAAGTATATATAAGGAGGGTTCACAGAGGAGAAGCGGGACAACTAATGATTAATTGATTAAAGACATGGATATTTAGAGATTGAAGAAGATAATATGCAATCGAAAACACAAAGGGTCACTCGATGTTTTTGAGTTTGTTTGAAGCAAGGAAGAAAAACCTAGATTTTCCTAAGAAGACGAAACTTACAAACCAAAGAAAAAAAAGGTGAAATGGGCTTCCTATAAATGATATAATGCATAGAAGTCAGTTGTGCATTCTCTTTAATTTCTATAACAAAATTCATTTGATATTTACTTATATTTGTTCTTACACAGTTTTTTTTTTCTGAGTGAAATCCACTTAATGCTGACGTGAATAGCTGTAAAAGAGAGGAAACTACCTCATTATATTTTCCTAAGAAGACGAAAGTTTCTATAAATAATATAATGCATCGAATTCAATTGAGTATTCTCTTTAATTTGTATGACGCAAACTCATTATAAATACCTATACTTATTGCTGCATATATTTTTTCCTGAATGGAATCCACCTAATACTGACATGATAGCTTTACGTGAGATATCAATTTTGGTTTTTATCTTTGTTTATTATATATTAAACCCAATGGGAAGTCGAATCAGATAACTATACTTCAATATATTCTGATCAGTTTTTAATTTTTTTATTTATTAGGTTAAAGACACAAATTTAAATTAAATACTACATAATTATAATATAAATACACATGAAACATAATAATATTAGAGAATATTAAATTAAATATAAACTTACAATAATATGTATAACATGACACAACTTTCAAAAAATAAAATATACATATAATAAATATTAAAATAGAAAAAATTATCTATTGTAAGATATTAATAAACTAGTAGAAATTCTAAAAAAGGATGAATGGTATTGTAGTTATTTTTTGTTGAGATAAGGATAAAACTTGGTGAATTTTTTAAATAACATTTTCAGTTTTTAAATAGTTTTCAAAAGTTAAAGTGACAAAATTATGTTTTATTAAAGGGGTAAATGACCCTAATATCATGATTTATATTTTAATTAATTCTTTATTAAATATTAAATATAATAAATATTTAAAATTTTAAAAATAAGGATATGAAAAATACTGTTTTCACTACTTTTTGGAGAAAAAAAAATTCTTTGTCAAAAATTAGACTTTTCAGTTGTGTAAAAAATAAAATCTCGGATGCAGGAACGCTTGCATAAATACGTAACTAGATTTTTTGAGTATAGCATGTATGTATATTTAGGAAATGTTTTAAGGGGAAATTTCAATTCTACAACAAATTTGGTACCACTTTTCAAATTTATCATTAATGGATGACTATTTTCATAAATACCCTAAATTTGTAATAAAATAACACTAAGTTAATTTGTATAAACATTAATAGAAAGTTTATAAACCCAACCCAACCCCTTAATACTAAACTCTAAACGATAATCATTAAAAAATATTAGTATATCTTTGGTTGGTGATATTTTTGAAAAGTGGTACTTAACTTTCTAACAATTTCTCTTTTCTGACAAAAAAGAAGTTTTTTTCTATATTTATAAAATTCTTAAATATTTATCACACTGATTCCTGAATTTTACTTATATGCATATATAGAACATATTATTCAATATATCATATCTTTTAAAAATTTATGAAGATATTTTTATTTATGTATATTATCTAACAATATTAAAAATTCTAAAACTAGAGTAGGGAGAGTGTCCACGTCAATAAAAATATTCAACCAATAAGCTTATAACGTTTTACCACGTCAACACAATTCTGTCAGTTAAAATCGGGTCACTCATATGGGTTTATAAATTTCAAAATGGCCCATGCCTTTTTCTTCCAATCTCGATCGTCACTGGCTTTTACACTTCTTCTTCGTTGTTTCAATTCTCTGATATCATGGTTACCACAATCACAGTAAATGTTTCAATATGTTCTTTACTCTTTTCTTTAAGATTTCGTTCCATCTCCTTTGTTTCTCTTCCTATTTAAAGCCCTTCACAGTAACTAGAACCTAAAGCCTCCACAGAAGAAGATAAATCTAGGTCTAAGTTTAGTTTCCCTCCGATCTTCTTAGAGCTTCAGTGATACACTTACTATCGTAGTGTTTGATAGATCTGATCTGTCTGGTCGGATCTGTTCTGTTTGATTTGTATCACAAATTGGACTCCATTGGTAGTTCTTTAGGTGTTTTGCAATTAGAGGAAGGAGGAGAAAGTGGATTTAGAACTTCATATTGAGACGAATCTGTGAAGGGTGATCTATTAGGTTCCACTAAAACACGTTTTTTTCCTTATTACAGGATATGCTTTCAGAGAGTTTTTAATTGCCTAACAGAGATAGAGATTTTGTGTAAATTGAAATTCAATTGCTTAGGTTCTTTCGTTCTTGAAACAGAATCTTCTTCTATCCACAGATGATAATGATGCGGCGCTGAAGATTGCTGATTTTGGATTCGCAAGGTATTCTCATCGGCTCCTTTGTTACAGAAATAACTAAGGTAATTAATTGCCTTTCTTTTGACTTTGAGAGTATGTTTGTTACATACTTTGAGTTTGTAATTTGCACTAACACATCACACTTTCTTAGCTCAGATCGTTGCAGCCTAGGGGTTTGGCAGAAACTTTGTGTGGAACTCCATTGTATATACTCCAGAGATTATGCAGCTTCAGAAGTATGATGCAAAGGTGCAACTTTTTTTTCTCTCTAGAAGCCACCTAGACCTGTCTTATACTATATCCCCGCTTAAAATCTCCCTTGCTACACCGGCAGATCTCTGGAGTGTTGGTGCTATTTTATTTCAACTTGTGACAGGCAGAACCCCTTTTACAGGAAACAGCCAAGTTGAGGTTTTGTATACCAACAAAGGACACTAATTTCTAATTTTTATATGTCTGTGTATGGTGAATTCATCAGTCTAACATGTGCGTCTTCTGATTTCCACAGTTGTTCCAGAACATTATGATATCAACTGGATTGCAGTTTCCACTAGACTGTAAAGATTTGACTACTGACTGTAAAGATCTATGTCGGAAACTACTGCGCCATAATCCTGGTAAACATTTGTCTGAACAAAACTCTAATTCTGTTAGCATAGTCAGGGCCATCAAATGACCATTGCTTCCATTTTTCGTCCCATGCATGCAAGTTAGGGTTTTGTTAAAAACTCTGGATAATGAAGTGTTAGTGACACTTAAGATTTTTGATGGTCTGTGACTCTGTCTCTGTTTGTGTTTTAACATTTATTTACTTTTGGAGTGCTTTTGTTTCACAGTGGAACGTTTGAAGAGTTCTTTCACCACCCTTTTCTATCAGACATACAACCATAGGATGTGCCAAGGTTGATGCTGGGATAAACTATTTTCTTCTATCATTCGTGGTTCAAACTGTTGTACTGATTATGATTTTTTATGTTGCAGGAGTAGATCCGTTTCAAGAACAATGGATGATTTTCATTCATCCGGAAGCAGTCCCTCAGGAAAAATGGAAGAAGTTTCTCATGTGAAATTGTTTCTTCTCTTGGCCAATAGGTGGGTAAGTTTCAGAGAAGCAGAACTGTAAAAGGAAAGAAACAAGGTCCTAGCTGTAAAGAGGTAGAACGTCTCTGAATCCATTTTCAAATAAGATTGAATCTTTAGCAGATGACTTTTCTTGCAAGATGATGCAATAAAGGAAGGAAAAGTGATTGCATACTTACATCAGTTGGGCAAAGAACTTCCTGTGACGGTAATACAAGCTCAAACTAATGTATCCATCTCTTCATTGAAACTATCACATTTGACACTCATTGATCTTTGCTATTTATGGAAACAGTCTGATGTAGCTGGTGAAGTTCTCAAGCTTCTTTCAGATGATGGAGGTAAAAAAATAAACATTCTGTGTATTCAAAATCTACTCACTTTGAGAACTGGTCTCATTCCACTTATGGTATTAACACCACATGGTTCATATGCAAACAGACTCTGTAAGTTATGGGGAGCCTCTGGTTGCGGCCTTGCCATCGTTCCATGATATCAACATCCAGTGATGATGATGATGTCAGCCTCATTCCACAACAACTTGAAAATATTTCATTCTAGGATTGTACTCTTTCCATCTTCTCTAATCTTTCTTCTATGGAGTGTGTATTCGGTTGAGATTATCTATTATGGTCTTCATCTTGACATGCGACGCAGCTGTGTTGTTTTTGTTCACTCTTTAGATTTTGGTTCGTCTTAACATGGAATATCTATTTTTATGCACCAGAAAGATTGTTGAAATGAGCAAGATTTCAGTTAAGTTGTATATTTGTAACTAGGATGATGAGAAGCTATAATACTCTAAATAATTTTGATAAATATTTTTTTTTAATCAGATTTTTTTTGATAACATCATGTATTTCCTAATTAATTTATACTAGATCCTTTCTCCGCCCTACGCGCGGATAATATATTTAATTTTTTTAATTTTTATGCCAATTTTTGTATTTTAAATTATATTTAACTAATTTTTAAATTTGAATATTTTGTAATTTCAGTTTGCAATAAGTATTTGAATATAATTCATTGGTACTAATTTAGTTATATAATTATCTTCATTATACCATTAAATTTATACTATTGTCAAATATGTTTATATTAGGAAAAATGTTAGCCAGCTACACGAAGTATCACCCATCACATGGCTAACCATGCCAAGTTTAATAATATATGGCCAGCTACACCAAGTATATGTTATGCATGCCAACATCCCCGAACTATATGATGTTATGTAATCAACATCATTATCTTAATTAAATTCGAGCGTGAGTGACATGTGGATGTTCCGACCATAAACGTTGTTAACTCTCTGGTTTAATTCTTCGGTTTAGGCAAATTTAAACCAGAATGGAAACCAGATTATATGACCAGACCAAATAAAATTGGGCCATTATTTTTAATTCGTCCCAAATGCAATCCTATCTTCTCTCTTTCTTTTTCATCAGAAAGAAAATTTAGGGTTTAAAATTTTCACAAATCAGTGGGAGAAAGGAAGTTGGTGTTTGCTTCATATTTTAACAAATCGAGAAATATGAGTAGAGCAACTCTTAATTCTCAGAC